GTCGTATGTGCAAATTCAAACTGCCAAGCATTATAAATTCAGCTAAATAATGTAACACTACTGCTCAGCTTTAAAATTGAAGTTTAGCGAAAGCTTTTGCAAACCAAATAAATAGGAGTTTTTTTATTTCTAAATAAAGTTGGAAAATATCTTTTGAAATAATCTTTATTTTCATGATAAAACACATTTAACTAACAAATCGCAAATAACTTAAGAAGCATTTGATCATTTTTTTTTAATAAAATTATTTTTTTCAACAAACAAATATTTTAGTGTTTTGCGCTTTTAAACAGTATGGTGAAAAGTAGTATTATATAATAAATATTCAACAAGCTGACAAATTATAATTTTAAAAAAATAATTATATAACTCAAAAGTGAAACAGGAGATTTGCATCATTTTTTGAGGGGATTACGAATCTGCTTTTGCTTTTTCAATGTCATTTTTTATCTATTCCTTGTGGAAATTTTTTAGGTTTAACGACGTTATATATAAGCAAGGGCATAAATGTTGCGACGAACTTCTAGGAGAGTTTGAGCACGACATTACCCGGATAATAATTGCATAGGAACTTATAACTAAAAATGCAGGATAGGGACGCATAGGGATGGATACACGGATAGGGACGCATCCCTATTATGACCTGTTCAGAAGCGCTCGAAGAAGCAAATTTTAATAGGGAAGTACTCCTTGCGATGTATCACGACGTTTTTGGGCTGGGCATGGGTATCTATGCAATTCTAATGCCCCTAGAAGTGTGTTGCAATTTGTGTAAGCCCCTTTTATTTATAAACTTAAACATTGCAACAAAAAAAGACTAAAAATGCCGTTTAAAAAAATGTAGCTTGGAGAGAGAGAGAAGACGATTGCAAATTTGAATTCAGTCACAATTTTTAAAAGATTATCGCAATTTTTTAGAAATTTTTCAAATTATATCCTTTCCGTAACATTATATGACGCTTAATTACAAAATTTTGTTTTAAATGTAGGATAAAAAAAATTTAGGTATCCAGCAAGATATTAATTTTTATGCAATAACCGATAAATGATATTTTATCTGTCTCAATTTTTTATCATCTTGTATTCTCGAATAAAACATTATGTCTGAGAGAGAAAGATATGAATAATTTAATTATGTCCGTAACCTAATAGCATTATTTACAGGTTGAGAAGGCATGGTGTAAATCATAAGTACCAGAAGTGTATTTGTCTTGTTTTGGAATAAAAAATTTAAATTTGTGATGTACTGTTAGAAATGTTATGGAAAAAATTATTAAATAACAATTTATTTAATTGTCATTTTACCATATTCTACCAAAACTGTCAAACAGCCATAAAAAAGATGTTATTTAAACTGATCACTGCAAGAAAAGTCATTTATTAGAGGTTTTCCCCCCACTGTGGTTAATTAACCAGAATTTTATCAGAGCCAACCACGCCCACCTCATGAAGCTACTTGGTACCTTTCAGCTGGATACATACTTCATCCGAGAAGGTTAATCTGTCAATCCGACTAAACTTGGTTCAAATCCCAGCATTGACACCACAATATTTCTTCCAACTCCTTCAACACACGAGAGTTACCAATGTTTACAACTTTTTAATTAAAAATGCTGAATAATTGAATACGCTCCTATGTCTTATTTACGCATAGGTGGCAGCACCATAGAGCTGCTCAACACATAAAAATTTAGTATTTCCCATCTCTTATCATAAAGTCACCATTAATTAAGCCATATTCCACAGTTAATTGAACAAAACACTAATCAACCACCACTAACCCCCAATGTTTTGTTATATTTATTTTATATGGTTTTGAAATCTTGCTAGTTGTAAATGGTTACAAAACTGTAAAGTAAAGAATTGTACCTCACAGTAAACTTAATGCTTAATTGGTTGGAGTAATTTAATTGTTGCTGATTAATTTACAGTAATTTTAGACTGCAAAATTATAAAAGTGTAGTCCTTACCCTAACTCAAAAATGATAACAAATAGTTAGACTTAAAATATTAATATTTGTAAATAGTTTTACATCTTGATAACATGACAAAGAATGAGATTTAAAACAGATATCGCATTGATCTTATTCTTTAAATGCAAGGCTTTGCCTATAAATGAAATATCTTATAACCAATTTCGAGTTACGTGTATTTTTTTGTTACTATGGTTCCTCGTTGCTAAGAAAATGAATTTTTACCTTATCGTCTTAGTTCTCAGCTTTTTTCTGGTCACCAAGACGAAATAACTTTACTGTTTGCTAATTGTAAATATTAGTTTTATTGCGATTCTTAACAGATGGAAGTAAAAGGTATTTTTATTTCATTCAGATAAATAATTATCATGTGTAAATATAATGTTTTTATTATATCTTTGTAAGAGTAATATATAGGAACCGATTTCGTAAATGTCTAAGAATAAATTTTTATTGCCCTCTAAAAAATAAATTTTTAATTCTAAAAAAGTGCTTAATAAAGAAATATTTGACGTGTTTAAAGTTATTGTTTTAAATATTGACTTTATTTAATTTTTAAAATCATGGAGAATCAAAGAAATTCAATAATTCCGTAATTCAATGTTAAACGTAAATATATTTTCTAAAAATAACAGTTTAATGGAAAAAGTATTATTTTTGATCATAACACGTTTTTTTTTAAATTAAGCAAATTTAACAAAAACGCTAAGCATATCCTGTTCTATGTACGAAGTCTGATTAATATTATATAAATTTCAGTAACTTTATTTAATAATTTAATTATTAAATTTATGGAATAGGAAAATTAAGAAGAAAATCTGGAATCGTCACTAAGTGCCTTAAATTAGCTCTAAAAAATACACAATTTAAATCGCAAGTAATTACTTAATTTCTGTGTAAAATTTTTTGTCAGGCCGTAGAAATTTCTGTATGCTTAGTGACGTCGACACCTGATGTCTAATTTTTGATGAGTCCATGCATAGAAAATGTAACTGAACGCAGATAATTCATAAATGAAAATGAATTCAATGCAGTAAATTCACCCAATTAAAATTAATTTAACACAGTAAACTCAATAAATTAAAATGGGTTCAAATCATTTGAGATATTTCATTGGAATTGTTCTGCTGATCTTGGCCGATTATTGCTGCCTAACTTTTCATCCGAAAATAGTGAGAAACATTTTATTCAGCGTGTATTGTAATATTTCAAAATTTTTTTTAAATTTCAAGATTACATAAAACATAAAAAACATAATTTTCTAAACACTAATGATAAAATTTTAAAATTAGAGCTACTAAATAAATTTGAATTTTAGAGACTTTCAAAACATTTTTGCTTAGAATATAAATTTTAACGATTCAGTGATTTCCGAGTTTGTTACGCGTGGAACTAATTCTTCTACATATACATAGTTCAGTATGATGATACGACTTTGGAGTGTGGAAATTTGTTATAGAAAAAAATTCAGACTTTCTGATTAAACAAATGCTAAAGTACAGGTGTCTGCTTAATACCCTGCGTAAGAATGTTTAATGCTTGAAGGATATTCTGTTAACAATAAGGTTAGACGTTGATTTTCGGTAATAATTTAAAACACTGAGCTAAACATCCGAAACTACAAGGTGATTAAAAAGAGCCTTTGCGAGCATACCTTTTACGTGAACTAAATCTAAGATTTAAAAATGTATAAGTTATTAAGAGCTAGGAAATAAACTATTATCTAGTTCCGACAGTTTACAATTACGGATATGATGACGGTATTTTGAATTTTTAAAATAGAATCGCCTTCTTTTTTAAATCAAATTGTAGTTCTCGCAGATAAAAATCTTAAAGTGGAGTTGAAACGATATACTTATTAGCACTAGGTAGATCAGAAGAATCAATGAAAGTAGTGGAATGATATAAAGCCAGTGGATAGTTTGTTAAAACTAACTTTCTTGTTTTTCTCTCATCCATGTCTAACACTGTCTACATATGCTTCCCTTTAGCGTGCTTATCCAGATTTAATGAAATTATGAACTTAAATCAATCCCTCCCAGAAAAGAGTAGGCCTCAGCACTGATTACCATAAACAAGAAATTTGATCCTATTGCAGTTCAAAGGTAATGACATATCTCGTTTTATCTCCCACTGCGCAGCTTAATGACTCTATCGTAGTGACGTTCTTCCAATTTTTTCTCCACTGCGAAGTTTATGTTCGTTACGTCGGACTACTAAATTGATCCTTGCTGAGGCCTTCTATCTTTTAGGAAGTGTTGTTCAGATGCAGTTGTTCTTTACAGAATTCTCGTGAATTTATAAATTCAGGATAGTATTTGTTTATATTATTTCAAAAAGACCTAATCTGTCAACCTCCTGATTGATAGAACGGAGGTTCGAGTTCTAGCGTAACACCGCAATGTTCCTTCCATTTTCATCAACACGTCAATAGTTTCCAGTGTCCTGCACTCCCCAATTTGTGACCCTGATTTATTATAATACCTTACTCTCATTCAAGCATACATGGCAGCACTATAAAGTTTGTAAACTATCACTTATATCTTGGTAAATTTCTTTTTTAATGTTTTGAAAACATGCTAGTTCGAAACGGTTGAAAACGGTTGTAGTTTTGTATTCATGGTTTTTAACCATACAATTTGTAAATGGTTTCAAAGCAGTAACGGCAAAAAATTTTCTTTACCGTAAACTTTATGATAAATTTGATGGACACATAGCTGCTGCTTATTTTTTCGTATTTGTAAAGCGAAATTTCTAAAAGTGATTTCATTCAAAATCTAAAAATCTTCTTTAAAAAAAGTGTTAATAGTTAACACCAAAAAAAGAGATGCGTCCAATATGGCTTAATGTGTCAAAACAGAAACTTATTAAATTTGTAATAATTATTGAACGCCTTCATGAAATCAATGTCCTTTTACTTTGGGTTTGCTATAAAGCTATTTAAATGCTAAAATTTCGCTTCAAAATTTTAAAAAAAAATTTGATTTTAGAAATATTATGTTTTTATACTTTTTATTTTTGATACAGATGAAAAAAGTCAGTACAATATTTATACAGAACAGCAGATAAAGGAAGCTTTCGATGTCTTTAATGAGGACCGAAAAGGAAGAGCTAAAATTAAGTAAGTCGAACAACCAGTGTTTCTTCAAGCAAAATATTTGATATTTAATTTTGAAAGTACATCGATGCAACGATTTCTACTAACTGGAGGATATTTAAATGCAAATTAATTAACGCGAGGAAAACGCAAATTTCTACATACGAATTAAAATATTAAAATAAATGAAATGGCAAACAATAAATATAAAAAAATTTAAACAATTGTAAATTAAATTGAGTTTTTATGAAGAATGTTTAAATATTTATGTTTGAATTTCACATGGTACAAAAAATCTAAAAAAAGAAATTGTAGAACTCAAAATACGTACGATTCATCCCAACTGATCACAATTTTAGATAGTATGTGCGCTACAAATAAGCATGTCGTCACGTTGGATAAGTTTTGATATCGAAATAAAAAAAAATTGGTACGTAAGAAACCATTTGAAATTTCAGCATATTAAACGACGCACATTAATAAAACATAGTTTCACACTGTTAGATCGTTTCTTCGTTCGTCATTCCAGATTGTTTCACTCTGTGTTCACTCAGTCCCTGATCAACTTACAGTGAGAAGTACCGGTACTCAGGTTGTCGTAACTATTTACCGTAAAATCCACTTTTACTCTAACATGTAACGGGGTAAAATACTTTTTACAGTAAAACTTACCGTAATATCACTCTAAATGAATCAATATTACCATAAAAAGTACGGTATATATTTTACTGTAAAATCAGCATATGACACATCCAAAGTGCCTGTACTTTAAGTTAAAATTTGACCCGATTTTATTTTTAGTGCTAGATTAAAATGTTGTACATTTATCTCCAAGTTAAGATTCATTTGGGATTACCATTTTCATCATGAGTCTCTCAACCATTAGGTTTTTTACATTCATAAGAGTTTTTTAGTATTTCGAGCGTACATAGTAGGTTTCAAAAACTTTAAATAATTAACACAATTTATAGCATATCTCCCACAAGAAAATATACTTGCTTCTTCAAAAAATAGAATTTTGTGTCTGAACAATGTTTTAAACTATTGTTTACTACTTAAAATAAAAACCTAAAGGATTATAGATTTTTAACTATATTTTGTGTGTCCCGTTTCATTTACAATGATTGCGACAACATGTTAACGAATTTCTTTGGAGATTTAATATTTTTCTCCCACTGTTTAAGCATTATTTTGCTACAATAATTTCCATAAATAAATTTCACTATCATTTTTCTGGATTTTATTAAAAATGCAATTGAAAAGCTATGCTCCTAAATTTTAAAAGTAAATTGAAACTCGTAAGTTGACAAGAAAATGAAATATATTATTATAAAAAATGTAACAAAAATAATTTATTATTGAAAGAAATTTTTAGTAATTAAATACTTTTTGCTATAGTTTTGTAATATATTGTTTTTAAATAAAAGCTCCTGTTCTTTACAAGATAAAAAATAATCGAAAGTAATAAACAAGTTTAATTAAGTTCAAAATTTTTAAATTAATAAAATTTTTCTCGAAATTCTATTTTAGAAAAGAATTTTAAGCATAAGACTATTTTCTGAAATAGAATGTATGACTGTTATGAATAGCTTCTGGTTAACTACTTTTAAATGATAAGATAAAATTAAAATAAGTTTTTTTAAGTAATCTTTTTCTCCGCATTAATCTGTTAACTTTAAAAAAATTGCAATATATAAAAAAAAAGAGTTTTAATTGTATTTACTGATATTTAAAATGAAAAAAAGTTTTAAGTACCTTATATAAAAAAAATTCATATAAATCCGTATTCAGGGCAAACATGAATGTTTTGATGAAGTCAAAAGGAGACATTTAATTTTCATTATAGAAAAACTTGATTGCATTTTTGATAAATCAGCGTAATATATATATATATATCGTTTGCCTTGAAAATAATACGTTAAAAACATGCAAAAATGATTTGAAATACACAAATCTGATGTGTATACTTGTATTATACAAAAATATTAAAAATAGAATAATAACAATTAAAATATTACTTTTGAAAAATAAAATTTTAATATCAAGTATTGAAGTAATTATTTATTAATTTCAGACATCTTCACACACTGACAAGTGCCTTAGGGCGGGTTCTCTCAACCAAAGATCTGAAAGAGCTGGAACTTAAAGTAAGTTTTGAAATTTTATTCCATTTAATAAAATATTTCTTTTAAAAAACATTGATCGTCTTAACCATACTCTTATTATTAAAATAAATTCTTTCTGCTATATCTTTTATAAAAAAGATTAGATAAATAAAATAAAATAAAAACATAAAAGTAAATTAAACCAAAGAAACACAAATGCAAAATACTTCATCAGGAAGCACTCTTCATACACTTATAAAGGGGTTTTTCTGTGAATAACTGTTTACGGAAACAAAAGTGTAATTTAATCCTGAAAGCCATATTTTGAAAAGAAAATGCATTATAATAGAAGATATAAAATCAGAACTAATACATGAGAAGTAAAAAAAAATTATACACTAAAAGTAAACAAAAAATCAGAACTAATGCATGAGAAGTAATAAAATTTATACACCTAAAGTAAACGAAGTATAAAGCTTAAAATTACAAAAAAAAAGTCTATCAAAATTATATTACAGATTAGAATTCATATTCGACATGAGTGTTGATTATAATTTATAGAAAAATACTATTGCTAGTAGAGAAAGGAAAAAATAAGATATATTATTATAGAACCAACCAAATTGTAATAATTCAGTGCTTCCATTTAAAAACAGATTCAATTTGAGAGAATGAGAAAACTTTATAAAAACGAAATACAAGCTTGATCAAGTAGGATTGCTAACTTGATCTTTTTTATCAACTAAAATGGGATTTATTTGAACGAAGTCTAATTAATAAATGATTTAAAATAGCAGACATTAATTGGAAAATTATAATTTACTAGGCTGTAAAAATATTCCTGAAAAATTAAAAATATAAATTAGATTTAAAATTTCAAAGTGCAATAACATTAAAATTAAATTCATTTCTTTTATCAAATCAACCACTTTTCCCTCTTTCATATTTTGTTTATATCTAAGACTGAAAAAAATAAGCTAGATTATTGTTATTATTAGTTTTATTAAATTTAATTCACAGGATAAACATTCTTTAAAATGCTAATATCTGTACTTTCTCTGACAATATCTGTACTGTTAATACGCAGGTGGCTCAAATGTAAATATGACATTTTTAATAGCAGTAAATGATTTTTATTCTCATTTTCATGGCAACAATATAATTTTCTAAATAATAGTCTAAATGATTGCTTCACTTTGTAAAGTTCCTTATTGTTCCTTGTAAGCTCTTTTATTTAGGAACTTGAATCAATCATAAGTGACGGTAACGCTTCTAATGCAGTTGTACAACTCATGATAATTAAAATTTTAAAAGAAAAAAAAAAGTCAAACCTATTGAAATTTTGCTCAGATTATCGGCACAGCTTTGCAATGTTACTCTGCCGAAGGAACAAGTGTGCAAATGGCATAAATTAGAGCTGTGAAGTAGCTGAAATCTTTTCTCATTCTCTCCGACACATCAGTAACACAACAAAATGTATAGACGTTATATTGGGAAACAGTTGAACATCTTCCGCAGTACTGCTAGGACTTGGCTCCTTAGGAGTACCATTTGCTTGGACCCAAGAACGAAGCTTTGAAATGCAAAAGATTTTCCTCCAATGAAGATTTTGTTCGTAATTGCTTCACTACCTGGCCTACTTTTTTTCTAAGCAACCTGGATTAAAAATCCTCTAAAACATTGGAAAAAATAGAAGTTCACGGAAATTGTGTAAAAAAATAAAATTTTTGAATTTTTGAAAGCTATATTTTAATATTTTGTTATTAAAAATGTCTCATTTATGTTTAATCCACCCTCTCATAACCAAATATCCTTTAATCTAAATCAGTACAAGAAATTAAAATTATAATAAATAAATACTGACAAAAGTACTGACAATACTGACAAATTCATTTTCATTTTAAATACTTTAATATGCTTTTAAGAAAACCATTTAAAAGACCGTTTTCAAAAATAGATAAAAACAGATAAAATCATTCCATACTCTGTAATAGTTTTATATAAGATGTATATTAAATGTATCTGAAATCATCTATACCAAATTATTATGTGGGATGCTTTTAAAAAAGTTTTCAAAATCAAAAGCTTATATAGTTCTAATAATATTCGTATTCAAATAATTATTAAGTTTTTATTACTATTTAAAATAAAATGTTTATCATTTAAAAAAATATATATAAAATGATTTTAAAAATTTGGTTTCCTTTTGAAAGAATGGAATTATATTTATATAATAAAGGGATTTTTTACCTGATTTTTATTTAAAAATATGAATAAATAAGCTCTCATAAAATCAATAGTTTTCACCATTTGATTATTTTCATTTGGTAATTCAAATAAACGTTACCCAAAGTTAATTATTTAAATATTTAACTAAGTATAAACTATATGCATCTATGAACCTTGTAAATTCGTATGCCTGTTTAACAAATGAAATCATGATTAAAATTTTCCACTTGCATTTTAATTTACAGTTTGTATGTCATGCAAAAATGTTAGTGTATATGTTCTACATTAAACAAATGGAATATCAACTTTATAGTAATCATACTCAGTGCAATTCAACTTGTTTAAATTATTTTTTTAAATGATATTCTCTCACTTGTGTCTCATAGAACGTAAAAATTTTAGCAAAAAATTTTCTTGCAATTTAGTTTAAATGCTTAAATTTTGTTTTAACAACTTCTATGTATTTATTGGAAATAAATGGAAAATATTAAAATACAGTTATATAGGCATTCAAAGTTACGCTTCCACTTTTTCTGATTGAACTTTTTTTGTGATGCTTTGGGCAATAAATTAATTGCTGGTAGAAAATTTGCGTCAAAAGCAATAGAATTAAAGCTTCATATTATTTCATACGGTATTGATATTAATTAATCATTTCTTGGATCGTTTCCTTCATTTCTTGGATTCCAATCGAGAGTACAAAAAAATCTTGGTACAAAAAAATACAGTCCGCAAATGTTTTGTCCTTTATTGATTTTTTGTAATTTGGGAAGAAAAGAACTTCTAGAATGCTTCGGGAAGACACGAAGAAACAGTTAATATGATTTTTGCTTTGTTTAAAATATACTTTCGATTCTGAAACTGATTTTAATTAAATAGAAAAGTGCATAATGTTTTCATGGTATTTTAAGGCAAATAATAAAAATATTATATAAAACAATTCAAGTAATAATATTAATTGATTCCCTGAAATGCATGTGAGAAATGTATATGAACAATTGTATATAAGACACGAATTAAGAAGTGTGGAATGCATTTACCACCACTTAATTCATATGATACCTGAAGGTATTTTAAACCGGGCACTTGGCGAGAAGTTTGCGACGAGGACACTCAATATCCTACAACTGAACATTAATGGTACGCAGAGGAAAACAGAAGAACTTTCAGACATCCTCCACCAAGACAACATTCATGTGGCTTACCTCCAAGAAACCAAACTTAATAAAAACCTCGAGCTGTCACCTGTGCAGATGCGAATGCCGTCGCCAGACGAAGGATATACAACCAGTATTTTAGCAAGGCAACAATCCCCGATCTAAACTGCCCAAGAAACCTCTCCTCTACAAGCTAGGCTACGTACTGGACATTTCAAGGGCATGAAGATCTCACGCACCCATATAAAATTCTATCCCATGTGCAAGTACTGTCCTCATTTGCAACTAACTCCAGACCATGGTTTTGACTGCCAGGCTATTATCGGCTCCTTCTTTCAACTTGGAGCACCTCCCATCGAAATTCTCCATAGCCATCAAACTCCAGAACTTGCAAACCTTGTTATCAAGACTTTTGGAGGACTCTAATCTTTGCACTATAGCATAGACACGACAACAACAGGTATTTTAAACTGAGCAAAAAGAATAGCCATGTTGTTTAAAGCACTATCTACTCAAAGGAAATAAAATTAATTTTAAAAAATTGGAATATTGAAAAAAAGAGGAAAATAGTATATTAGAAAATTTATCTTACATACTCCCGCCTGCTGGAAATCTACTTTAACTACGGCGAATGTTAATTTGTAATTTTTTTTTCGTTTTAATTTAGAACGGTTTGTTGAAAGTTAAATGCTTGTCAGGAAAGGAGTTTTTTGTAAATAAAATAAACATCTGCTTCTAAAAGGGGTTGACTTATAAGTCAAGATCTATCACTAATGATTTTGAACATTTTGAAGGACACAAACAGTTTTTTTTTTAAATTTCTTTATTCCTAGGTTTGACAATTTTCTCAAATATAAGAAACCTTGATTTTTCTTCATTGCTTATAGCTGCGGTTAATGAATAAATGACAGAAATCTGTATCACATAAACATAAGCAAAGATCAAAATACTGTCTAAGAATTTTTATTTTCTTTGAACCGAATATTTAAAAAAAATTAATCACAGATTTTAATTACGTGATGAGTATTTATTGATAAAAAAATTGAAGTAAGAAAAAAGTAAATTACATAATTTACTCGAAACAAGTCGGATGAAATAAAAGTAATAAACTTCTATGTAGAAAACTTTTCTTCACTATAATGTCATTGCCTGTGGATGCATTAAATTAACTATTTCAGGTGGTCGACAATGAGAATCCTGAATACATGAAACTAGAATCTATACTGCAGCCCTTAACAGATATATTAATGAAAGATATGTAAGTAGAGAATGTATATATAATGTATATATAATGTATATATACTGTTATGTATTTCATGCGCCCCACGTTTTNACGCCCACTAATTAGTATAGCCCACTATATATTGAGTCATATACATTTTCCCTTGCATAAGATTTTCCTCTTATTGACATATAAAGAAACGGTTGTCTTAAAAAAATCTTATTCGAAAAATGGGAGGAGGAAAAAATGTTCTACTTGCTCAGTTCTACGCATGCCAGAAAATTATTTTCTCCAAACAATAAACACATTACCAAATATTAATCAAGAGAATTTGTTGTACATCTAAAAATTTTTTCAACACGTTGTTTTAGTACATGCCAGACTATTTGAATCAAAATATTTGTATATTATAATTCAACTATTTGTACTATTTGTTATAAAATAGGTATTGTAAAGTACAAAATGATATGATACTTTTTAATAAAAATAAACATGAGGGATTTACAATTATTTTCTTTCTATATTTCTTAAAATATAATTGCATTATAAAATACTGTATATTAAGTTGCATATTAAAATATGCCAGGTGGAAATCAGCATCAAAGGAAAATTTATTAAGAGCTTTTCGCCAGATAGATAAGCACAAATCAGGATTTTTGAATGCAGATGGTTTACAACCTATTTTTGTTCAGAACAGTAAGTATCCTTTCTGTTAAAAAATTTTACTTTCAAATCCTAATCATGTTAATAACTGTTTTCTTCAACTAAACAAAATTAATGAATACAATCACAGATTTAATCAACTTAACAAAAGAAATTTTGAATGTCAGCAATTGCAGAAAATATAAAAGCAATTAAAAATTACGAGCAAAATAAGATGATAAAAGTTATTGTTGATATTTTTAATATTAATATATTTTATTTCTCACGGAATATAATAAAAATATAGTATAAATTATTTATTTTGTATTGTATTACTTGCGTTTAATATACAATAGGAATTACCTTAATTTTCAGGTGATGAGTCGGAATATGAAGATCTTATAAAATTTCTGGAATTTGCGACTGACCCAAAATCTTATACTGTTAATTACAAGTTATTAATCCAAGATTTAATTGCTCCCCAGTCCATTGATGTGTCCGAAAGTAGGAGGAGTATCCGGGAAAAATTGGTGGATGACAGATATCGACTTGGCTAAGTGGCACAAGTTAAATTTGTAACCTTACAACACAAATTTAAAAACATGATTGGTACCTGTTACTTAAATGTAATTTAATTCAATGTAAACTAGTCTAGAAATACGATTTTTCAATAATAAGTAAAAAATTCCGAATTAAATGTCGGTAAAAAGTGCCGGCATTTTTACCGTTAATTGATACGGAATTTTTTCGAGTGCAAAGTAATGACCGTTTATTATACTTATAAGAATAATAAAATTGGTGTATTTATATTTTATAAAATAATAATTCGGTGTTCAGTTTAAAATTAAATGTGTATTCGAGGATTATAAAACAATTTGATGTCATTGTATTTCGTAGTACACTTTAACACATTCTGGATCAAATTACGACAAAACAGTACTGGAACTCAGGATGTCAGTTTTTTTATCGTAAAATTTTCATGAAGAAAATTTTAAGGTTATCAAATTTTCAGTTTTCTTCAGTTAAGTTTTCTTGAACAAAACAATAAAACACGTCGTGATTTTTATAATAATATTTACTGTGAAATCACTTAATCATTGTACTGAATCAATATTACAGTAAAAACTACAGTGTAAAATTTTACGATAAAAATAAATTTTACGGTAAATGAATTTTACAGATGAGGCATGTTTATTTTATAGCAATTTAATCTGGAATCTGAAATGAAATAATGCAAACAGAGAATTTGTTCGATTTTGATAATTTCAATTGTACAATTTAATTTTTAAAGTATTTTTTTTTTCAATTTAGTGACAGTTTAAAAAAACAGCTTGTATAATTGTGAAAATACTACTAAAGCATCTTTACAAGTTACAAAAAATTTGTTTACGAAAATTAGCTTCTGCCACAAAAAATACAATGCATACTGCCCATATTTTGTAATTACATTTTAATGAAAATAATGAAAAAAATCTTGTTATATCAGTAAAGTGAAGAAGATATAATGTCACAATTATGTCAGAAAACAAGCCGATACTCATAACTGAATAATGGTAGACAATAACAGTATAAAATTTTTTTCACTAAATTATTATGTTTTCAACTACGCAATGGTATTTCTCTCATTCGTTCTAAAAGTTATAAACTGATGATTTGGAAATGATTTGGAAAGATCTTATATCAGTGTAGGTTGAGTTATTTTAATTTCAATTTGTATATAAATATTAAATATCATAAATTATCTGGGAAAGTTCTTTTTTCCTGCCTTGAAAGTTTTTATCTATTTAATATTTTTGTATTTAAAAAAGTAGAACTTTGAAAGCAATGCAAAATAACCGGAAAACTATATTATAAATCATATGAATTATAAAGAAAATAAATTAATTAAAATAAAACTATTTCTCGAAATTATTATTGAAAAAATATTAAAATACATACTAAAATGAAAGTTTTAAAGTTTTGTCATAAAATTGTAACCCTAAAATATTTTAATGTTGCTTTCAGTGTAAAAAAATTACATGTTCACAACAAAAGCCTCTCTTTAGATTTTTTTTTTGCATTATTGAAACAAATGATAGCAATAATAGTATAATTATAGTATACATTGTGTTTTTACGGTGTACATATTAAATAGCTGAAGCATTTTATCGAAATGAGAGCAAAGGTTTTCTGATGGAAATATAAATACGCTGAGAAGTTTTCTGGTAAAATTAACTTGAAGCATTTTTTTAAAAAAAAACACAATTCCGTTACTATAACCAAAAATAAAAGATATTTAATTTGGCAATTTTTTCTTTTACATGGTATTTTACCGAAATTTCTGTTTTTCAAAATTCTAGTTCGGAATAGTACGCATTCAGTTAAAAAAATTAAACTTAGAAGTAAATATAACCTAAATAATGTCATTTCTTTAATATCATATTTAAAGCATTATATTTGAACTTCAATATAGTTTATATCGCTTAAAACCTTATTACAGTATAAAATGTAAATTCTCAGATTTCAAAGAATGAAAATAAAATGTGTAGAATGATATTTTAACGCAGTTCTTATAATTGAGCAGTAGAAAATAGTTCCTTTTTATTTAAAAAAAAACAGTGGAAAATCTGTTATGTTAAAAACAATTTTCTCCATATGTTGTTTTTCAAAGTTTATTGGCTTTTCTTTTGAGACAATATTAAAAGCCCAAAGTGGAACTTTCTTATCTCTTCTTAACCAAGACCCTGAATTGGACTTTATTGAGCTGTAAAAGTTTAGGAAACTAATAAAGTCGAGAAGTTTTTCTTTTTTTTCTATTCATATACCTTTATAGTTTTCTAGTTTCTTTAAAGCTGCGTAAGTATTTGTGCCCTTTTTTCTTCGAGGAAAACATCACTATCAAAAAAAAACAGAGTTTGTTGAGGAAGGTTTTAGAAAATTTTTCACAAAGCATGCAAGTTATGCTGGATTTCAATATTTGTTATATTTACGCCCACTAATTAGTATAACCCTCTATATACAATACATGTTTTACAAAATAAAAGAGTGTAGTAATAAAAATGAAGGAAATGCTATTTATGGCCAAATTTCGTAGGTCATGAAATAGGGTCTATATTCATGAAAATTTGCAATTGAATGGCTTTCCGTAAAACAGTGATAATTCATAATCATTCCGAAGTAGTCGATTTTTAATCAATATATTCTTCTCTTTTGTCCCCTAGATATAAGCTTTAAACGTCTTCGGGGTTTCCCCTGAATTAGACCACAGGCCGGGATATTTTGGTAGGTGGGACGCTGGGCTCATGTTCAGGATATCATGAATTCGAATCCCGCCGGCTAAATAATCCCCGCGTATGGAAAAGTGACTGGTGTGCGCTAAGTGTGTCGGGGTCACAAAGTCCACCAAGTTCTCATAACAAAAAATACCTCTGGAGGTACTGAATTAGAGATTCATAATTCTCTCGTATTATGATATGTAGATGAATAAATGGGTCCTCCCTGTAATACGGGCTGTGACGTGTGTGTGACTGAAGTCGTATTCTTGGCCATAGATGACACTACTGCAAAACAAGAGGCGCACTCACTGCTTTAAAATCACTTGGATTCCCATAGCAGGCTTACTGATATTGGCAAGTGGCATTAATAACAACAATTAAATTACTCCACAATACCGATGAAACATCGTATTTCTTTAATAGTAATTGTAATGGTTAATTTCAAAACCAATATGTTAGAGAATGCTGATAATTTAATTCTACAAACTGTTTAATGAATCAATTCTATAATTCATCACGGGGAAAAAAGATTATTAGTTAAGATATTTATCTTGAAATTATTGATGCGTGTTTCTCTTTTATTATTTTAAAAACTTAGGTAATAAATGATTATTGATACTTATTTAATAAAAGTTTTTATAATATGTAAATAAGAAGTTACGAAACAACATAAATAAATAGAAAATGTTTGGCAGTTTGAATCAACGTAAACTTAAAGAAACTTTTTTTATGATATAAGCAAAATCGAAGAAATGTAAGAGTGTGGTATCTTATTCTCTATTCGAATTTCTATTGATATGTATGATTATTAACATGATTATTATTATTCTACAAAATATTTTGTGGAGGACATATTATATTGAAAAAGATTTCACAGCAGTTAAGAGGAGAAAAAATTGTAAAGATAATTAAAGAGGAACAGACGATGATAAAAATATTCGGTTAGCCGCTAGTATTTTATTCCGAACAAATTTCACAATTGTTTTTAAATATTTGATCACTGTTGTCTAAATTCTTAAAACATGTTTACTGCTGCCTGTCTGCTTGGCGCTTTAAAGTTAACATTGTTGCACGAGCGTCTTTTAATTTCTGTTTTTCAAAATCGATGTTGTTAATAATATATAAAAAAAACTGTATTTGAGTGAAGTTGTGGAGTTACCCTTTAACTTGTCCTCTTTATTTGAACCCAAATCGAGTGCAAACAAGTAAAAATAGATTTTGTTTTAAAAATTTGCTACTTTTTCTATCACAAGTAAAAAAAGTTAAATAAAATAATAAGATATGCGTTTTTTCATTGCAAGAACTTTTTTAGCATACACGTAAAAATTTTATGTAACAGCATTAGCATTATTGAAAAACTAAGCATTTCACCGATTTACCGTACATATCCGCCGATATTTTTGAAGAAACTATTTATTCTACGAAACAATTTCTTGTTGTAAAGAAAAACTCTTAGTTTTAGAACAAGAATATTCTCCCTTATTTAGGTTTGAAGACTTAAGCTGCCTTCAGAGTAATCCAGTTTTCCTTTTAAATTTGTGCTATTCATGCAATATTCCTTTTGAAGAAGCCGGTAGAAACTGAATGCATTTTTAAAACTTATGTCTATTTTCTGCCAGATAAGTAAATAATAAAGAAGATACATAGGCTCATTAAATTGACTGCATAAACTCATTTATTCATCATTTCATGGACTATTCGTGACCATAGCATAATACTGATAGTCTGTCATCATTAACTTTGCAAAGTATTATAATAAATCTTTGCAGTATTTTGAAATCGGCAATTTGTAATTCACGTTTTTGTTCGATATAGAAGTAATAAAATGTAAGAGTGATTACATAGTAGTTCGTCATAAGACATTATTGTCATTGTTATGCTATTTTTTTAAAAATAGAAATAATTAAGCACTGCTTAGTTAAAATTTAAAAGTTTTTTTTCAATACAACACAGGATTTCAGTAAAACTCATGCTTAAGAATTAAAAAATTTAATGTTTTAGGCTATAAAAATGATTTTCGATCTATATGAGGTTTATAATCATGGAATTTATTTGTAGTCGTTATGTTTTAATTAATGTAGCAGTTTAAAAATAATTTAATCAAAAAACAAGACTATGAAATCAATAACGTATACTTTTATGATATATAAATAATTATACGAATTTAAAATTTAGATAATTCAGTTTTATTAAATAATTTTGAGTTCACGTGTTTAGAGTCTTATAGCATTACTTTTTTTAAAAAAATTAGGAGTTATATGTATATTTTTTTAAATAGTAATATGAATTTATAGATACTTTTA